AAAAAGCGCAACACCACCTATAAAAGTCTTTCCCCAAAAATGTGAGGCCCAACTCAGCAAACAATGTAATGTGAGCCACATGTATAATTTAAACTTTACTGGTAGTCACCACTTAAAAAGAATAAAAAGAAACAGGTGGGCAGGGCGTGGTGGCGCATGCCTGTAATCTCAGTGGCTCTGGAGGCTGAGGCAGGAGGATCCTGAGCCTCAGCAACAGGGAGGCACTGAGCAACTCAGTGAGACCCTGCCTCTAAATAAAATACAAAATAGGGCTGGGGATGTGGCTCAGTGGTTGGGTGCCCCTGAGTTCAATCACTGGTATGAAAGAAAGAAAGAAAGAAAGAGAGAGAGAGAGAGAGAGAGAGAGAGAGGAAGGGAGAGAGAGAAAGAAAGAGAAAGAAAGAAAGAGGAATTGATTTTAGTAAAATGTTTTGTTTAGCCCAATATATCTAAAATATATTTCAATATGTTATAAATATAAAAATAGTAATAGAGATATTTTATGTTCTTTTTTATTTTTTTTATCCCCAGTCCTTTTAATTTTTTTAGTTTGAGACAGGGTCTTGCTAAGCTGCTGAGGCTGGCCTCAAACTTGTGATCCTCCTGCCCCACCCTCCCAAGTTTCTGGAATTATAGGTGTGTGCCACTACACCCATCTTTTACATTCTTTTTAAACCAGGTGAAATCTGATGTGTAATTTACACTGCCAATATATTTCAGTTTAGATGCTAAACATCCATTGGAAACATTTGATCCCTCCGTGTCTTAGTCTACTTGGGCTTCTATAACAAAATACCACACAATAGACAGTTCATGAACAACAGAACTTGACTTCTTATGGTTCTGGAGTCTGGAAGTTGAAGATCAGGGGACACCAGATTCAGTGTCTGGTGAGGGTCCAAACACTTTCTCACTTAACCTTCAGTAGTGGGAGGGACAAGCGTGTCTCTTGGGTCTTTTTAATCAGGGCACTAATCCCATTCACGAGGGCTCCATCCACAGGACCTGGTCACCTCAAAGCCCTCTCCCGACATCCTCTCCAGAATGAGGATTTCTGCATGAATCTGGGGAGGGCATAAACATTCAGACCACTTCAATATGTACACAGAATATGTCAAATTCACAATTAAAAGAAAAGATTCACAATTGAGGAAGTTATCCTGAACATTCCTAAGTTTTCCAATAACCGAAATCAATGACTTTTAAAAAAATCTATATTAATTAAAGTTAGCTTAAAGATTCAGTCCGTTGGTTGCACCACACATTTCAGAGACTCAGTAGTCATATGTGGCTAATGGCCACCTTAATGGACAGGGCAGTCCACAGGACAAGCAGGACAGAGGAATGTGCTAGCAACACCCTGAGGCTGTGGCCAGTACAGGGCCCTTGGTGGGGGGCTGGGGTGTAGCTAAGTGCTCACCTAGTGTAGCCCCAGCACTACGAAAAAAGAAAAAACGATCCAGATGGAGGAAAATTGTATAGGAGGACAAACAATCTTATTTCTTCAACAAATAAATTGCAAAAAGAGAGACAGGGAATGGGGGTAGAGCTCAGTGGTACAGTATATGATTAGCTGTGGGTTTAATGCCCCAGAATGGGGGGGGGGGAGAAAATAAGTATCAACTGAGTCAATTGCCTGTTAATTTGTAACAACTTCCAATCTAAAAGCTCACAGCAATAAACATATATTGCTGCAGTTTCTGAGGGTCAGGAATTGGGAGGGGCTTCACCCTGAGTTCTGACGCTAGGGTTAAGGTCAGGGATAGGGTTAGGGTTAGGTTAGGGATAGTGTTTGGGAGATGGCAGAAAGCTGTGATGGTCTGCAGGATCTCCAAGCTCAACCAGGGCTAAAGGCTCCACTTCCAAGTTCACTTATGTAGCTGCTGCCAAGCTGAATTCTTACAATTGGACTGAGACCTCAGTTCCTTGACAGAGGGGCCTCCCCACAGGCTGTTTCTCAAGACAAAGAAGATGGTTCCCCCCAGAGCCAAATGGACAGAGACAGAGAGGCAGAGATAGAAAGAGACACACAGTCAGAGACAGAGATGGATGCTATCTTATTTTGTGTTGCTATGACAAAATATAGGAGGCTGGCTACTATGTAAAGAAAAAAAAAGGTTTATTTAGCTCATAGTTCTGGAGGTTTAAGATCATGGTGCCAACAACTTATCCACGCTGGTGAGGGTCACGTGGAGAATAGCATTACGATGGTGGGAACATGTGCAGAAAATTCAGGGGAGGTGTTGGGGATACTTAACTCCTCATTCTCCAGGGTTCTAATGCAGACCCAGGAGAACAACCTACTCCCTTGAGACAGCATTAGCCCATTCATGAAGAGCCAATGACCTAATGACCTTCCATGAGGCCCCACCTCTTAAAAAGCCTAGCTGCTCTAGAGGAACACACTGGGGACCACGCTTCCCACACAGGGACCTTCAGGAAACAAGCCACATGCAAACCAAGGCAGAGTCCAACAAGAAACGGCAGCCTTTCAATCTAGAATCCCATCTGCCTGATGCTGCAGGTCACGCAGACCAACCCAGGTACCACGTGGAGCTTAAGAGCTGAGTCTGGGGAGAGGGGGTGGAGCTTAAGAGCTGAGTCTGGGGAGAGGGGGTGGAGCTCGAGAGCTGGGCCGGGCAGAGGGACGACCTTCAGCAATGCCTTTGGGGGACTCACACCTGAGTCCCGACTGCAGAATAAAGAAGAGAGAGGCCTCTACTCTTCCAAAGCACAAGCTGCAAGGTATCCCCCTAGAGAATTACAGCTCCAGTTGGCTAGATGATAATTCCTACCATTAACTGAATTTCTGTGCCAGAAACGCTACACCAAGCACTTCACATACATATCTTATTCAGTCCTTACTGGAAGTTAGGTGCCACGTCCTCTTTACAGCTAAGGAAAGAAACTGTGTCCCCATGATTCACCGGCCGGTGTGTAGCATCTGTGACACCCTGCTTTCTGGGATGATCTGGATGATCCCTTTAAGTGCTATAATTCTGAGTCAGACTTCTAGCCACTCGCCCACCAGCTCTGTCTTGGGGCCAGCTATTTAACCCTTTGAACTTTGGTCCCCTGTGTTAACCCTTTGAACTTTGGTCCCCTGTGTTATCTGCAAAATCAAATGCTTGTGAAGATCTTAAGGAGATGAACTGTCTGGCTCAGTTCCTGTAAAGCATCCTTGTCTTTTATTTTGTTACTTTTTCTAAGTGCGCATGTGCCGTGGAGAGCTGAAGACAGCCTGGGAGGTCAGGATTTGACTCATGGGCCGGGAATAGCCCAGTCAGAGGGATCACTTGATGAAGAGAGCATAGGTATCACAGAGAGTGGAAGGAGAACCAAATATCTGGAGAAGAAAACCCTGGTCCCCAGAATCTCAGGATGCAGGGGTCTTCAGGAGACTGGGGAGGACGATTCAAGATGGTCTAATGGAGGGAGGGGACAATGGGAGTCAAAGTGGGGATGAAGAGGGCATGTACAGAGGGCAGGCCAAATTCAAATGACAGGGCTGGGGCTGGGGGTGCAGCTTGGTGATGGGAGCACTCACCTAGCATGCATGAGGCCCTGGGTTTGACCCTCAGTCTTGGGGAGGGGTGGAGAGAAAGGGGAAGAGAGAGAGAAAGAGAAGAGGAGCAGGGAGGTGACAGGGATCAACTGTTCCATCTACTGATGATAAAGCACATCTGATCAAGAAAGGGGACAAACCATTAGCTCTCCCAAATAAAAGACTGAAATAAACCAGCACCAAGGGTAAAATCCACATGCAGGACCCAACGGTAAAGAGCAAAGAGCATTTACAAAACCCAGAGAAGCCAAAGGACATTTCCAGTATTAATAGCACCAATGTTCACTTGATGGTTTCAAAGTACTTGCCCATCGCTTGTCCCATGGGACCTCTAATGGGTGAGAAGACAGTGAGATCTGAATATGCAGTCAGAGGACCTGATCATGCCCCTTACCAGCTTCAGGATTGTGCTCGTCAGATTTCCATGGCTGTTTTTTAACAAAATACCCAAGATAAACAACTTAAAAAGAGGAAAGGTTTGTTTGTGCTCACGGTTTCAAAGCTTTCTCTCTATGGTTGCTTGGCCCTGTTGCTTTGGGTCTGTGGCAGCACGGTATAACATGGCAGGAGCACATGCTCTCCTATGGTGACTGGAAGCAAAGGAAAAGAGGAAGAAAATGGGGTCCCCATAGCCCCCTTCAAAGGTGTGTCCCTAATGACATAACTTCTTTCCAATGGGCTCCACCTTCTAAAGGTTCTACCATCTCCCAGTAGCACCCCAGGCTGGAGACCAAGGGGGTGGAGCTTGGGAGCTGGGCCTGGGGAGAGGGGGTGGAGCTTGAGAGCTGGGCCTGAGGAGAGGGGGTGGAGCTTGAGAGCTGGGCCTGGGGAGAGGGGGTGGAGCTTGAGAGCTGGGCCTGGGGAGAGAGGGTGGAGCTTGAGTGCTGGGCCAGGCAGAGGGATGACCTTCAGCAATGCCTTTGGGGGACATTTCAGATAGGGCAGGGATCTGGCCCAAGTCGGCGAACCTCTCAGAATTTACTTTCCCCTGTAAAGTGCCTAAATACTCACACCTACCCTCATCTCCCCAGCCAGATCCTGTTCCCATCCCACACTCCACCGTGGCCAATCTACAAAATGCAGCAGCCACTTGGCTGCATCCTCTGGACACTTAAGGATGCTGAAAACCACTGTTTTTCTCTGCCTAGCAGGGACATCCAGGAGTAAAGTCGTCTTTTAACTCTTCACGCCCCCTCATCCTCCAGGGAGATCTAGATGCCAGAATCTACTCTGGAACTCTCAGAATGGAGACTGGAACCAGTCGACTGGCCTTGTGAGTAGCCTGGAGGTGGGACTTATGGTGACACCTGGCTTCTCCGTGGTTTGGACATAAGGAGGAGTTGGAACTTTGGGAAACTTTCAGTTCTGATCATCTGTGGAGACCAGAAATGGGTGAGTGTTACACCAATCCAGGTGGCCAAGGGTGAGGCTCCCGATGAAATGGGTGAGATTAGAGTGTGATTGGTCTCCCCCTGTTGCCACTAGTGCCCTTTTTCCTGGAAACTTAACTTTTATAATGCTTTTCTGCAATGGGGTATAGGCCATCTTTTTTTTTTTTTTTTAAATTTAAGTTGTAGATGTACACATACCTTCATTTTATTTATTTTTTTATGTGGTGCTGAGGATAGAACCCAGTACCCCACAAGTGGAAGGCAAGCGCGCTGCCAACGAGCCACAAGCCCAGCCCCAAGACCATCTTAACCATACCTTTGTAGCACACCAAGTGGTAGCAGTACAGAAAACAGAAATGGGGGATGTTCTATGTTGAATGACTTATCAGTTACTTTGGGGCCTATGCAAGCTCCATTTCCACCCCATCCTCATCCCTTTAGCCCTTGGTGGGGTTGTGTTTGCCTCTAGGACCACAAGCCTCCACCTTATCACATGAGCATAGCCAATGGAATCAGGTCGCCAGGTTATGGAGTTATCCCCTTGCAAAGTACAAAAATGGAATGAGTCGGGTGAGCCATAAACCTTGGTGGGAAGAGGGGGTGGAGCTTGGGAGCTGGGCCTGGGGAGAGGGGGTGGAGCTTGAGAGCTGGGCCTGGCAGAGGGACCACCTTCAGCAGGCCTCGGGATTCTTCCACATCCCCCACATCTTTGCACGGAGGAGGGTCTTGTCCTTCACTTTCCTGGCTCCTTCTAGGATGGAACTGCAGACATGCTAATCTCACTTTATAGATGAGATACTGAGCCTCTCAGGAGTTAGGAGCCGGGTCCCCAGGTTATGAGTCAGGGGCTCAGGCTGTACTAGCTCCTGGATGCACAGGTCCATGCTTCATATTTCCTCCCACTTTTCTTCCCACCCACCCAGGTCGCTGGGGGTGAGGCCTGGTGGGTGCGCTTGGTCTAGTTTCCACGGTGCACCTGGAAGTCTTTATGGTGCTGCCCTAAGAGGGCCTAGGCCTGAGCCAGGGAGAGAAGAGATGGGGACAGGGTCTACTAGGGCCCTGTGCACCTAGGGGGACAGGGCTGCTCCCCACCGCCACCCCGCAGTGCTGAGAGGATCCAGAAGTCTTGGCCCTGCTCAGCTCTGATCAGCCTCACAACTTCTGCCTCTTCAGGTCTCTTGTTTCAGGGCTTTTCAGCTTTTTCTGATCCCTTTGCAGCCTTTCTGTAGAGAGGGTGGCCCCTGGAGGAGCGCGACTTTGGGGCCCTTGGGGACTCCTGGACCCACATAGAGATGCTGTGGGGCAGGGTGACCACTAAGTCAGAAACCAACTCTCTGCCCAAACCCAAGTCACCCCACGCCCCCTGTCCCGTTCCTCAGGCGGACCTGAGGCGGGGTCTGGTGGGCACTCTGCACCGCCACCCCCGGCACCGGCTGCCGCGGCCACACTGCCCCTGGTCTCCCCGCTTCGCGAGTCCCCGGCCGGACTGGAGTCCGCTCCAGATCCGTCCCGGGTTTCCTCCGCGGCGCTGGGATCTCCGCCCCTCGGAGCCGCCGGGCCGCGGCGGCAGCGGCGGAGCGTCGCCCCGGGAGACGCACGCGCCACCTGAACCCTGATCAGCCGTCCGGCGCTGAACTGCGGCCCAGACCCGGCGTCTGCACTCGAAGTCCCAGTCGGGATCCGACGGCGCGGCCCAGTCCCGGCTCGTCCTCCGCCCTTGACTCTCGGGGCGCCTAGTGGCCCCCACTCCGCGCCGCGGGCCACCTGCGCTTCTCACCACCGCGCCCCGGACTCCCGCAGGTAGGGCAGCACTGCGCCGGGGCCAGGGGGCTGGCCTGCTCCTCGACCGCTGAATAGGGCCAGCAGAAGGCCACCGCCCTCCAGGGGACAAAGCGACCGCGCCCCCTGCGGCCCAACCCCTACCTGTCAGGTGACCTAGATAACTAGAGGAAGACTTCGCCTCAGGTGTCCCAAGGCTGTGTGCCCTCATCCCTCCCAACTGTCCTCCGTCGCCATTCCGCTCCCACCTGTCCTTAGGGTCCAATGCCAGGGGGATCCCTGCCAAGTAGACCGCTTCCCTCGGAATCTCCCTCCCACCTGCTCCACTTCAAGTTCTCCCTCCCGGAGAGGGGAGGAGGCCAGACCCTCCCCCGAGAAGACTCTCCAGCCCGGCCTCCTCCTCTCGGATTGCCGCCCCCCTGGGACAAACCCCTCCCCCACTCGCTGAGCTGTCGTTCTGGTCCCCTGCCTCTGCCCCGGGGGCGCTTTCCAGACCTCCCCGCTTCGTGCTGTCCCCCCTCTCGGTTTTCCGTGTGTTCTCTCCCAGCCTCTTCTGACTTTATCCTCCTCTTGACTCATACCCTCTCTCCCCCCAGACACCCTGGGAAGAAGTGGGTGTGTCACGATTTCTATTTATGGTCCCCCTGGGAAGGCAATGCCCCGCTAAGAGTTTTTTCTTTTCTCCTTACCGGGAATCAGGTGTCACGTTTGATTCCCGGTGGGAACCTCCTCTGGCTCCCTCTCTCGTCCCCTCCAGCCCCGCATCTCCTGGCGCCCTTTGTCTCCTATCTGCTTCCCTTCCTGTCCCTTTGCTCTCATCTTTGGGCTCTTTGTGTAGCTGCCTTCTTTGTCTCCGCCTTGCTGCATCTTTCCTCCCTTCCCTCGGACACCTTCCTCCCATAGTTCTGAAAAGCCATCAGCTTCAAGGGCACCAATATTTCAGGTGGGGAGGGGGCGGTGAAAGTGGAGTGGAGGGTGAGCTCCCAGCATGCCCAGTACTGACTCCCATCACCCACTTCCTTGGAGCAATCATTTATATTTTTGAGATTAAAAGAATGCCCCCAAGGAGGTGGGATGAGGGAGGATGTCCCCCTTCCTGGAGTTTGGTTCAGGACTTTCCTGAACTACATTTCCCACAGTGCCTTGGGGGCATGGGATTGCCTCTGCCTCTGCCTCTGCCTGGACACCTTATGGAAGTTAGTTTCAGAGTACCAGATTACAGGGTGTTGTGCTAGGGGGTGGAAAGAGAAGGGAGCAAGATTTATGGGACCAGCTGCGTGTGGTGGTGCACACCTATAATCCTAGTGGCTTAGGAGGCTCAGGCAGGAGGATTGTGAGTTCAAGGCCAGTCTCAGCAATTTAGTGAGGCCCTAAGCAAGTCAGCCAGACCCTGTATTAACAGAAAATATTTTAAAAAAAATTTTGAACTCAGTGGTTAAGTGCCCCTGAGTTTAATTCCCAGTAAAAAAAAAAAAAGAAAAGAAAGAATTATGGGGCCAGCCCACAGTTTGGTTTGTCCTGAAACCCCTGATCTACCTTGCTCTCAGTATTCACCTCAAGGTCTAGGGACCTTGAAACCTTTGTTTATGTCCCCCACAAAGGAACAAGGGTAGAGGGAGGGTCTGGAAAGAAAGAAGAGGGAAGAATTGGAAAGTCTTCCTTGTTCCCTGTGACCTCAGGAGCTCCCCACCCTCACTTCTCACTTTCCCACCCTCACCCAAACAGCCTGATCTGAGATGTAGAACAGTCATTTACAGGAGGCTCTTCCGCCCCTGGAGTCTCTCCATTCTGAAAGCAAGAGAGGGAATGGAGCCTAATGTCTTGAATTAGGCAGACGGGTTCCAGGTACAGGTTGCTCAAGATTTTCCCCCTAGTGGACAGTGGAGTATTGCTGGAGTCACCATGGAATCAGCAGCTTGTACTTCCCAAGGACCCAGGGATGACTAGCTCAGGTTGTCTGGAGATGCAAATAGGAGCCAGGAACTAACCTGTGCATCTCCAGGACCCGTGTCTTCAGAGCCTGGCACTTAGGTGGTTCCTGGGTGTGTAGGTCTGTGTGCTGGTATAGAGTTGCTGGCAGTGGGTAGGGGAGCAAGTGTTGCCCCCTGCCCCCACAATCCCATCTCTGGTTCTAGATCAGTTTAGACCACTTGGGACCTCTGACTCCTGGTATTTCCTCTCCTCACTCTCTGTGTAGGTTTTGTGACCCAGTTACACCAAAAGAGGTCTCCTCGGCTGGCCTAGGAACCTGGAAATTTTAACTTTTAGTGTGGTTTTACCCAAGCCAAGTCACCTTGGGCAAGCCTCAGTTTGCTTATTAAGGAAAGGAAAGTGTTGAGCCTCCTGGTCAGTAATGGCCCTTGCAGGTGCTTTAAAACCTCTGAATCTGGATTCCCCTTCCCTCTGAATTCTGGCCTGATGTTTCGGGAGAGCCTTAAGCACTGAAATCAGATTAGAAAGAACTGGAAAAGAAAGAGGAATGCAGAGATCTCCCTTTTGAAGCTCTGTGTGTATAGCAAGTGTTTACATAGGCTGTATCTATGGCATAGGAGCTTAAAGCCACCCCCCAATTACCCCATAGTTCCCCAAACATGTTTTTTTTTTTGTTGTTTTATTTTTAGTACTAAAAATTGAACCAAGAGCCCTTTGCCATTAAGGTGCATCCCCAGTCCTTTCTATTTTTTAATTTTGAGACAGAGCCTCCCTAAGTTGCTGAGAGTCTCGCCAAATAGATGAAGATGGCCTTGAACTTGCCATCCTTCTGCCTCAGCCTCCCAGTTCACCGGGATTACAGGCATGCATGAGCCACCACACTTGGTTGGCTATGCTTTGTTTAAAAAAAATCCAGCCAAGCCTATCATTATTCCCAACAGAGTAGCTGGTCTATGTCCCCTGGTAGGTTGGTTAATGGAGCTTTTATTTAGGTTATATGAGAGAGTGTTATAATTGGCTGAAAGTGAGAGGAGGGAGGATTTGATTGGTTGGCTTGATTTGGAGAAGACAGATCTAGAATCAGGAGTCATCAGGACATGGGCAGGGGGTTTTCTCTTTCGCTCTGTCTCCAGGCAAGGAAAATAGAAGAGAGTGTTGGATCCACAAGGGGTTGACCCAAATGAAGGACTTTGAGGAATGGAAAGGGCAAAGAAATTCCTGGGTGGGAGATGATGCCAGGGATTTTAAAAAGGGGGGGGGAGGGGCTCTGCCCTTCTGTCTTTGGAGGGGAAGTGAATAGGCAGAGGGTCTGATCATGGTGAGTGTTTTGTTTGCTGGACCTACACTGCCTATTTCAAAATCACCATTGAGCCCTGGACTGGAGCCAAAGTCACACCATGGGGAGGTGGAATAATTTCAAACAGGAAAAAGTAAAGGTGGCAGGGTTGATTGGCCTGAGAAAAACGGCATTGATTCTAAAGCAGCTGTCCGTCTGTACACTTCGGTTGTCAGGTTCACATGTGTATGTCAGGGGGATAGGGTAGTTCACTGGAGCAGTACTGTGAAGGAGATCTGGGGTCTCCAACCTCCTGACCTTTTGCCCAGGTCTCCCTAGGAGCTGACTGGGCACAGAGGGGATCTGGGGCTAGTCCCTGGGGAACTCACTAGGGATTCCTGAGTTTGTGACTATTAAGGACATCCTGGTAAGAGTGGATCAGGTAGAACTGAGACTGGGAGCTAGTGGGAAGAGGGAAGGATTTGAAAGTCCTCCATGACCAGGATCAATGCAGGGAGCAGAAAAAAAAAATGAGTATGTGTGTAGGAAGGGGTTATTGGGACATTGTGTAGGGAATCTGATATGGGAAACATGGGTCTCTGATCCTGTGCTGGGTTCTCTCCTGTAGTGCCGTGAAGCTGGAAGCCAACTGGGCCATAGGCACATTGGAGGTCCTTAACCCAGAAAAAGATTCTGCTTCAGATGTGAAGATGATCTCCAATGTCCAGCCACAGGAGACCCAGGCCAACTCCAGGTCCGGATTAGGGCTTGAGGCTGAGACCAAGCCTCCAAGGACTGATCCAGGGCATGAAGCCCAGGCCAAGTTCTTGCAGGCCGAGCCCAGGACCAGATCATGACCGGAGGCAGAGGCTGACCAGTTGGACTTCCGGTAGCTACAGAACGGAGTTTGAGGAGGTGCCGGCCATCTGGAGGGGCGGGGCGGGGCGAGTAAGGGGGTGCATCTCCGGTGGCTTGAACTACCTCCTGAATGGCTATCACAGCTGGCCCCAGGATCTGTCTCGCCTGGAGGTGCAAGCCAAGGGAAACAGGGGTGTGATGAAAGGGGCAGGGCCTGGATGAAAAGAGGTGAAGCCAGGTTTCGGGGTTTGGATCTTAGGCCAGCTTTTCCTCGTCCCTCATCCGTTTACTGAGAAAATATAGCCAGTTTGGGGACCAAGGCCTAGGACATGCGGGTCTAGGGCCTAGGTCAGTGAGGGTACCGTGGGGAAGAAGTCCATACAGCAAAGGAACCAAAGGGACCCGTGACACTTTCGGAGTTTGAGGATCCCATTGAGACTTTCTGGGGACAGGAACACAAAAGGAAGGGGGCAAACATGAGAAAGTAGCCTACAGGTGGGAGCAGCTAGACTGGAACCAGGACCTGTGAATAGACGGAATCTGGCCTAAATGATCTACTTGGAAGCTCAGGGCAGCACCAACTGAGTTGGGGCTGTAGAGCCGCGAAGGGGAAGCAGTATTCGAGCTAAGGGCTAAGGGACGTGACAAGCTCTTGGGGATGGAGCCAAGAAAAGGGAGTGGTGAGACGTCTGGGACCTTTTGCAAGCGGAGTTGGAGCGTCTCTCCAGCGGTGGAAGAGCCCCGGTTGTTCTACCTTCTTAGGAATCTGAAACCTAAGTGCTCAGGAGAGTTCCCAGGGCCTCCCGGGTCTGGCCTGGTACTGGGGCCGTGACGAAGGAAGAGTGAGTGTGCAAGTCCTGTAGCGAGAGGCCTGGCGGAGACAGGATTGGGATACCCCCTGACGACCTTGGTCTGCAGACCCCGCTGGAGTCGGTGAACTTGATCGACGCTGGTGGAGGGGCTGCGCTTGGCGCCCTGGGAGCGCAGCAAGAGCGTGGCCCGGCTTCTGCAGAGCTTCTGCTCACAGCTGGTCAAACGACAGCAGCTGGGGGTCAAGGTGGCCCAGGAGCTGAAGGAATACCGCTAATCACCAAGCAGGTGAGAAGGACTGAGGAGCGTGGAGCGCAGGACCTCAGCTGGGGTGCGTTTCCAGTCCACTCCCCACTCCCAGCCCCAAACCCTTAGTCCTTACTTGCCGACTTCCGTGACCCGGCCACCCCTACGGGGATCCTGACACCCTTCACGGGCCCAAACATCCCAATTAGAGCCCTTTCCCTCCCTCTCGGCCGCTCGCATTTTACTTATTGATTTGCTTTCCTTGGCTTCACTCCCCTCGGGTATCCAAAGACCCACACCCCAGGTCTCAGGGCTACTCCATACTGATCCCGCCTCTCGCTGGGGATCCAGGTATTCAAAGCCATTGCCTCTGGCCATCCCTGCTACCTGCCTGGACCCAGTCGGTCCTCCCAAAGGGCCCAGCTGGGAGCCGGTAGGCGCGAGTGTGGAGTGAAGATGCAGAGAAGCCTGACTCTCCAGCGACCCCCGCCCGCCCCGCCTCTGCCACGCGCTCACTCGTGACCCCGCAGGGGATCCTTTTGCTTTGGTTCAACGCGTTGGCGCTGCTGGCGGGCCTGGGCGCCCGGCTGGCGGTTCTGCAGGCCTCTGGCACCTTGTCGCCGCTGCCACAGAGGCCGTGTCCGAGGCAGGCGGTGAAGTGGCACGTCTTCTGCTGTCGCCTTCCTTGCAACGCGACGTGCTCCGGGAGGGACTGGACCCGCAGCCCTACCATCCCAAAAGAAGCAACCTGCGCCTTCTGGCGGCGAAAGGCCAGGAGTGTCGCGTGGACAGCCTCGCGCGCCCGTGCGTGCTCACGCTGTGCACGAGCCCCTTCCCTACCCCGCAAGGCGGTGACCGCCGGTGGCGCTCCCTCAACATCTACTGCTTTGGCAGCGACATTGCGCAAGTGCAGAGCCAGCTGCTGGGGCACCTGCAGCGCCTGTCTCACCGGCCTCTACGTCTTGTGCCAACTCTTCCTGACGCCCCAGCTGTGGTCACAGCTGGCTTATTTCTACCAGGCCTGGGGCTTGGGCTGGTCCAGAGTTATATGGAACAATACCAGCTGGAGGCCGACACGTGAGGCTTCTCTTCCCAGAGAAAAGCGGAAAAGCACTCAGTGTTGCTTCGTTCCTCAAATCCCCAGCCAGCCCGTGCCTACCATTTCCAAGCTCCGCCCCCCTCAGAAGTTGGCTCTGTCCCCCTACCTTAAGGCATGTAGGTCCTCCCCTTTCCCTTTTCTCAACTGGGCCATCTCCTAGCTCCCCCAAATGCCCTTTCCCACTCCAGACTTGACCTCTGAAGATGGGGGAGCCCCTTTGCTCCCTATTACCCACTCCCTTCTCTTCCAAGAATGATGGATCCCTTCAGAGCCCTGTCCATCTTCCCATGATTCCTGGCTTCTCCCTTCTGTACCCATCAGATGGAAATGGCAGCATTGTGTGTGATGCCCAGGTCCCAGCGGGGGACACAGCCAACCCAATCCATGTTCTTTCTCTTCCTTTTCCCCTTCTGAAGCTTCAGAACTGGCCCAGGGTGCTCTTCCTCACTGGCCCCTCAGTCTTCTAGATTAGTGTCCTTTTTCTGCTTCTTATTCACCCCCATTTTCTTCCTCCCTGGACATTCCTGTCACTTAGCTCCTAAACACCAGTTTTTCTGCTCCTCCCCCCTTTTTCTTCTGTTCCCTTCCCCATTACCAGAGAGAGAGGTTGTAAATAAAATATATTTATAATGATCCCCCACTTGGGATCCTGTTTACTTTTGGTGGTGTGCTTTCCTCAGCTTGCCACACTGGCTGGGTTTTGCTCCAAACTGGAATGATGTTGTTATTTCTCGAGGGTTGTTTCCTAAGGTCCCCATCTAACTAGAGGGTCCAGCCAGAAACTGGTGCAACCAAACCTGGCCTAGGGGCTGTCCCTCAACCTGGCATAGGGTTTTTCAGGTTCCAACCAGTCTACCTTCTAGGAGAACAGGAACCCCCACCTCCCTGTACTTCTGCACACTGTTCCTCTGGATTATGTATGCTATTTAGACTTTGAGAGTCTTCTATATAAATGCAAGTATTAACCACTGCATTTGTACAGTGCTGTCTCCTATACTGGATCCCACACCAAAGTCAAAAGAAGGAAACAGGCTTAGAAGGGTCCAAGTGACTTCTTTGAAGTCCCTGTTAATAGCTGGACCTAGAACTAGGTGTGCCAAGGCCACAGCATGCCCAGAACCTCGCTCTGTGTGTTGGTATTAGCTTTGGACTTCTTGTTGGACAGTGGACAGTTGCTAGGGAAGTGTGGATCCAGCTCGGGGTTTGCTGGGGATGGAATCCAAGATGTGGGCAGAGGAGGGCGCCAGTGGGTGGGAAAAGGTGGGCAAAGGGAACAGCTACTGTCACTATTCACAGCTCCAGCTCTGTGGCTACGCTGCTCTGCCTTGGCTGCCTCCTGCCCCTTCCTTGCCATTTCCACCATGGCCGTATGGCAATAAAATGGACCTTTTGCCCACCCCTTGTGTGTGTTTCACTTCTTCTTAGTGGGGAGGGATGTAACATATTATCTTCCCCCCTTCCCCAGCAGCCTGTATTAGAGAGGATCTCTAAGCCCCGTGGCAATGGGGCTAATGACTTCCTGGTGTGTGTGGGGGAGCTGGGGAGGGCTGCTGGCCATTGTGCGCCCCCACCTCCACCAAGCGGAGGAAAGAAGCGGTTGCTCAGAACCCAGGCGGGCTGCGACGCGGCGCCCGGATTAAGCCGGGGCTTCGTTTTCGCCTAGACCTGGAAGTCGGCTGTTACCCAAATTCTGTGGGATCGTCTCCCAAGTTCATCTTGGCATCCAGGAACGGCCTCTCTCAACACCAGGATCCAAGCGCCTAACTCCCATCCCTCGACTCGTTTTCCAGCCGCGCTCGCTTTCCCCATTTCTGGGTGGACAACGCGTGGTTGGGGGAGGAGGTGGAAGGAGCCAGGGTACCGCCCCCACTCCCCCGGGAGGGAGCGGAGCTCCAGAGCGGCGGAGACTGCGATCCCGAAAAGTAACACACGGGGGCGCCAGGACCAGTGCGGACGCGGGCGAGGCATCGCAAGGTGGTTTCCGTCCGTGTGAGTGTGTCCATGGGCGTCTTTGTGTGTCTGCGTTTCTGTACCTATGTATACAAGTCAGGGGGTGTCTGGGTGGATGCATTCGGGACAACATACCTGGTGTGCCCCCAGAAACAGGTACCCCAGGTGGCTTCTTGATGTAGACAATGCTTGATATGTTACTATGTATGTGTAGACGGGGAGGCAGGCGACTTGTGTATATTGTCACGTGTGTACGGTGCAGACTGTAAGTCCCTGAAAATGCGTCTTCGATTTTTGAAGTCACATTTCTTGAGGGTTTTGATCCCCTTCCTGCCACTCTGTAAGAGGAATGAGGGCTCTCAATTGCTCTGGACAAACCCTCAGCATTAAGTCTGAGTGACTGTGCTAAGCTAGGTGTGACATTGTGTTTGTTAAGTGGGTGTGTCTCAGAATTTTAGTGTAACTCTATATGACAGTGTGTTGTGTGTGTGACAGGTGGACTTTGGAGGGGGCTGGATCATGATTATGGACGTGCACAATTTCTTTTCTCTTGTTAGTTTGTGGATGCCACCTTCGTGATGTTTGTGTTTGTATGTTAGTGTGTGTGTGTGTGTGTGTGTGTGTGTCCTTTTCTCATTCTCTCCAGGAGTTGTCTCTCTTTGTGTCTCTCCCCATCTCTGTCTCTTTCTCTTTTTCCTTTTCTTGGTGACTCATCTCTGCGGCGTTGCCTCCCCCGGTTTGCAGGGCCTCCCCTCCCCCATTCAGAAGTGGGTGGGGGTCTGAAGCAATGAGACCCTGGGATTAAAAATCAGGGAGAGAATCCCCTTCCCATTGCTCATCATTCCAGACCCTCCAGTGGCCCCCAGCCCCTTCCCTGGACTTCCCACCCCTGGAGTGACTAGGGAGTAGGGCAATAATGTATGTATTCTAAATGGGGCCATTATCAGGGGGTCTTCAGCACCTCCTTTCACTTCAAAGTGGAGACCCCTGCCCTCTCATAAATGCCCCCTCTCTGACTGTCCCCCCATATGGCTGACGCAATGAAAGGCTGCAGAGGTGAGTCACCGGTTGAGGGAGGGGGAGGGGAAGAAGGGGATGATGAACTGCGGGGGCCCTGAGCCCCTGCCCTTTCTTTCTCTCCCAGATTTTTCAGGGAAAAGACTCAATGCTCTGCCCCAACCCCCTGGTTTTCCAAACCTTCAGCTTTGGATCACTACTTTACTGAACCCTATCTTCTCCTTCTACCCTCCTGGGGAGTATGGCAGAATCAGAAACAAAGATAAAGAGAGATGGATTCATACAAACCACTCAGAGCAAACACCAGGCATCCATCCCCATCTCAGCTCTGCCCTTTCTAGCTTTCTCTCCATTTCTCTTTCTTTCCTGCCATCTTCTCCTCTCCCTGATCCCAGGAACCTGTCCCTAATCCATATCTCTTCCAGAAGCTCCTAGAGGGAGCTCATTCCAGGGAGGTGAAGATGTGTGAATGAGGTGAGCCAGGTCAGAAACCTGGGGGAGAGAGGCAGACCCACAGTCCATAGACCCAACCATCAATATTCAGATAATGGAATCACCAAGCCTATTGCCTTTGGTGCCCTGAGTTTCCACCTTGTCTCCTCCATACCTTACCCCACGATGGCTGAGGCTCTGGGATATTGATATCTGAGAGAGTTCCTGTTGAGAGCCCTGGGAGTAAGTGGAGGCATGCAGGGGTGTGGGGTTGGGTGAAATGGAGGAGTGGGGAATGCTCTGAAAACCAGGGACAAGGACCCACAACTTGGGGACAGCAGATAAGTAACTTGGATTCTGAAGCTTTATGGCATAGAGATCTAGAAACAAATAGGGGGAGGAGCAAGAAAGAACAAGGCACATGGAAGTCCACATAATCACCAGCATATACCAGTAGGCATGAAAGAACCCAGATAAATGCACAAAGACACACATACATATATACACATTCTGGGGCACCACCAAGCCAGGCATACCTTTCAGACACCAACAGGTACTTAGAATTGGGTGCAAAGACTCAAAGTTGCCCAGGTGGACAGACATCCCAAAGAAATCAGAACCTACGCAGATATCTGGAAACAGGCAGAAACAGTCACATGCCTTGGAAGAGAAGAGCCCCTATTTAATAGAAAACAGTGCCATGACCATCCACTCTCAATCTGATGCAACACACAATTTGTTTCCCTCATGCCCTTTCTTTTTCTTCCCCACTATGGGTCTTTCTAATTTCTGTACACATATACAGAAAGAAGCTGAGAGGCATATCAGGAGCCTTGACACATATGTATACACATACACACACACACACACACACACACACAGGTGCCATGTACACACATATACAAACCCAGGGGTTTACAGAATGTGTCTAGGTGCTTGTCTCCCCTCTTCTTGCATTTAAATTCTTATTCCCGTCAGTCAGCCCTCTTGGCTCCCCCCGCCCCAGATGTCTGACACATCTCTCTGATTCATTCAAGGTGACGTGACCCACTCCCCATCCCACTACTGCCTGTAATGCAACAGTCTGAGAAGATGAAGGCAAGGGATCTGAGGGGAATCCAGAGGGCCAGGGGAGGCCCTGGAGAGTTGTGGGAGGGGGTATGTGAAGCACTGCCAAGAGGGTCTCTTGATCCCTTTTCCTTCCTTCCTTTGGGTTCTCCAGTCACCTTGGTTCTCAGTAGTTTTTTTTTTTTTCCTCCCTCTTCTCCTTCAGCCTGCTTCTTCCACCTGCTCCAGGTTCCTTCCTTCTTTCCCTCTCCCTGCCCCCATCTCTTTTCTCTCTCCACTCCTCCCCACTTCTTTCCCCGCAGAGCTGATGGGCTCTCTTCTGGGAAAGTCGAGCCACTGATGGAAGCGAGAAGCCTCTGCTGGCTATAGAGGGAAAGCACGTGAGTGTGCAAGTGTGCGAATGTGTGTGTTGGGGGGACACAGAATGAAGGTCAGTACTAGGAACAGATGAGGAGGGGGGCTCGGACTGGCTCCGAAAGGGGCTATGAGCCCCCACAGACAGCTCCGATCCTGGTTTCCAGAGTCTCGGGATGCCTTGCGTGTGCCCACGAACACCCCTGTGTCCGCAGTTCTTGTGTGTCTGGTGTGTGTCATTGTCACTCCCCCCTTTCCCTGCCCACGCCCCCGCACTGCTCCTCTCTGCCTGCACCGCAGCCCCCTCCAGTCTCCCTCCCTCTCCTTCATTCCTGCAGTGGCTGCTCCCCTGGCCACCTTTCCCTCTCCCCAATCCCCTCCCCATTTCCGTCCTCCCCCCACCCCCGCCCACGCCTGGTCTCCCTTCACCGGACCCAGCTTGCTGATGGATTCTCTCTGCGCAATCCGTGCGTCATCGCCCCCAACTCCCGGAACCTCTAACTATCCAAGCCCCCAGCCCCAACCCCTCTGGCAGGAGATACGGTCCAAGGGTCTGGTGGCAGAGAGGGTCTAACTCTGACGTCGCAGCCCCCCCTCCCATTGCGTTCAAACCTTCCCTTTAAGTGGTGGAGAGAGAAGGAGTTGAGTCACCCCCCTACCTGCGCAACCCCCTCCCCACCTGGTCTGGTCTCGCCCTCCAAACGTCCTTGGGTAGGGGGAGCCGCGGGAGGGAAAGAAGCTGGAGGAGGGTGGGAAGTGGACTGAGGAAGAGGCACAGCGTGGGGCCTTGACAAGCACAGTAGTCAGCCGGACAGAAGGACAGACACACCTTTTTCTCCAGACAAGAGCCGGTTGTGAACAGACACGACTCAGAGGCACACATCCTCAGTCTTTCCCTTTTCTCTTCTGACTCGACTCGGACCCTTTCCAATGTGTACAAAAACCGCAAGATCCACCCATCTGCGGGGGACCTGAGCCAGCACCCCGCACCGCAGATCCGTGGACAGCGCCCTCAGGAGAGCAGATCCGCCCCTCTTCTCAGGTTCACGCCGTCCTTGGGCGTGTTCCCCAAGGACCATGAGGTCGAGGGGTAGGGAGTCCAGACCCCTTCGTAGCTTTCAAATCCTTATTCTCCCCCTCCCCAGTATTAATCTCCTACTGATGCCCAGTCAGACGCTGGGGGTGCCCCCTTCCTATTCAGCTCAGCAACGCAAGCTTGGCAGCTGCAAGTTGTTTTGTAACCCACCCTCCCGCCTTCTAGCGCCTCTGCATCCACCCTTCCATTCATTCTCCCATTCATTCATTCATCCTTTTCTCCTCGTCCCTCCTTCATTCATTCATAGCCCCTTGCCCCGCCCTTCTCAGCATTCATTCATTCATTCATTCATTCATTCATTTCCCGGAGCTTGGCTAGCGCACGCCCCTCCAGCTGAGGCCCTCAGTGCGCAGGCGCAGGCCGGGAGAGTCACGCACTCTCCAATCGCTGGGCGTCCTCCCTCCACCAGGCGCCCGCCCGCTTCCCCATGAATGAACATTGACGTCAATGGGGCGGGGCGCACCCACGTGACCCCGCGCGCTCCCCTTTATAAGGCGGCAGAGGCGCGGGCGCTGTCCAGCGTGCTGAAGCCCTAGAGAGCGAGCAGTCCGGAGCTGTGCCGATCCTGCTGAGCCCAGCCTACTGGACGTCAGACCTCGACCGTCGCTCAAAGCCCAGCCACCACTCGAAGCCAAGGCGGACGGGTCCCGATCTTCCCTTGTCCCTACCCTGCCCCGACCCTCCTCTCCACCTCCCTCATCGTGACACCGGCTGGTAAATACTCCGCTGTCCGCCCCCTAAACCCTTAGCAACCGTGGGTGTGAGGGAGGATTCTCTCTCCTCCCGGATGGGGGTGTAGAAAACACAGCGGGGAGCCCCTGGTAAGGGTCCCTGGTAAATGGGGGAGTCGCAGCTTTTCTCTTGCTGCTGAAGTCGCCCACGCACCATCCGGGGAGTCCTGTGGGGAGGCAGCAGAGATTTTTCCCCCTGCTTAGTACGTGGGCGCTGGCAGTGAGATGGCTCAGGGAAGGGGGTGAGGAGTACTGGGTGAGAGGGTTGCAGGCATCCTTTTCCCATTTTCACGACTTCAGAGAGATCAGCACATCTTCCTCCTTTGCTTCTAAACGTCCCTCTTCTGGGTAAGGTTAGGGGAATGAGGGAAGCCCCGGATTTCCTGCTTAAAGATGGGGGGAAGGGAACGTAGAACTAGAGAGCGGGGAATTCTTACAGAAATCCCCTCTTTATTTGGTTCCTTCTATTTTTCAGTCTCCGGCAGCCCCTTGGTCATGAAATCCCTCAGGTTGCCGGCTTCCGCCCTCTTCTGCTTCCTTCTACTGATCAAGGGGTTAGGAGCAGCGCCCCCGGGGCGCCCCGAGGCGCAGCCTCCTCCCCTCAGCTCTGACCATAAAGAGCCAGTAGCTGGGGTCGCAACGCCCGGGCAAAAGGATGATAGCGCCCCAGATGTCCGAGCCGCTCGAAATTCTGAGCCGCAGGACGAGGGAGAGCTTTTCCAGGGCGTGGATCCCCGGGCGCTGGCCGCGGTGCTGCTGCAGGCACTCGACCGCCCGGCGTCGTCCCCGGCGTCGGGTGGCTCCCAGCAGCGGCCAGCTGAAGACACAGCAGAAGCTCTGCTCACCGAGACCGTGCGCAGCCAGACCCACAGCCTACCGGCCCCAGAGACCCAGGCACCCGCGGTCCCGCCTCGCCCTCAGACGCAGGAGAACGGTCTGGAAGCGGGAGACCCCTCTGAGGAGCTCGAGGCGCTAGCGTCACTGCTCCAAGAACTTCGAGATTTCAGTCCGAGCAGTGCCAAGCGCCAGCAAGAGACGGCGGCAGCAGAGACCGAAACCCGCACGCACACGCTGACCCGAGTCAATCTGGAGAGCCCTGGGCCAGAGCGCGTATGGCGCGCTTCCTGGGGAGAGTTCCAGGCGCGCGTCCCAGAGCGCGCGCCTCTGCCGCCCCCAGCTCCTTCGCAATTCCAGGCGCGTATGCCTGAGAACGGGCCCCTTCCCGAAGCCCACCAGTTCGGGGAAGGAGTGTCCTCCCCCAAAACACACCTGGGAGAGGCTTTGGCACCCTTATCCAAGGCGTACCAAGGCCTGGGCGCCCCCTTCCCCAAGGCGCGCCGGCCGGAGAGCTCACTCTTGGGCGGCTCCGAGGCGGGGGAGCGCCTACTACAGCAAGGGCTGGCGCAGGTAGAGGCCGGGCGGCGGCAGGCAGAAGCCACAAGGCAGGCCGCGGCGCAGGAAGAGCGGCTGGCCGACCTCGCCTCGGACCTGCTGCTCCAGTATTTGCTGCAGGGCGGGGCCCGGCAGCGCGGCCTGGGGGGTCGGGGGCTGCAGGAGACGCAGGAGCAGCGAGAGAGCGAGAGGGAGGAGGCGGAGCAGGAGAGACGCGGTGGGGAGGAGAGGGTGGGGGAAGAGGATGAGGAGGCGGCGGAGGCCGAGGCGGAGGCGGAGGAGGCAGAGAGGGCGCGGCAGAACGCGCTACTGTTTGCCGAGGAGGAGGACGGGGAAGCCGGAGCAGAGGACAAGCGCTCCCAGGAGGAGACGCCAGGCCACCGGCGGAAGGAGGCTGAGGGGGCAGAGGAGGGCGGGGAGGAGGAGGACGACGACGAGGAGATGGACCCGCAGACGATCGATAGCCTCATTGAGCTGTCCACTAAACTCCACCTGCCAGCCGACGATGTGGTCAGCATCATCGAGGAGGTGGAGGAGAAGCGGAAGCGGAAGAAGAACGCCCCTCCAGAGCCAGTGCCGCCCCCCCGGGCCGCCCCCGCCCCAGCCCCCACCCACGTCCGCTCCCCGCAGCCCCCGCCTCCCGCCCCCGCCCCCGCTCGGGACGAGCTGCCGGACTGGAACGAAGTGCTCCCGCCCTGGGATCGGGAGGAGGACGAGGTGTTTCCCCCTGGGCCCTACCACCCTTTTCCCAACTACATTCGGCCGCGGACACTGCAGCCGCCTGCGGCCTCGCGCCGCCGCCACTATCACCACGCCCTGCCGCCTTCGCGCCACTATCCCGACCAGGAGGCCCAGGCGCAGCGCGCGCAGGAGGCGGCGGAGGCGGAGGAGCGCCGGCTGCAGGAGCAGGAGGAGCTGGAGAATTACATCGAGCACGTGCTGCTCCGGCGCCCGTGACCCGCCCCGGCCCCGCCCCCGCGCGTCCCCGCCGCGCGCGCCGCCACTCCCCCTCCGTGTCGCTCCTCCGCCCTCTCGGTGTTTGCATGCGCCCCGGCCCCGCCCCTCGGTCGCCTCCTGGCCCCGCCCCCGCCCGCGGGCCGCTGTGTCTCCGGGCTGTTCCGGGACCTGCCAGACCTCTTCTCGGGACCGAAGCCCGAACTCCCAAAACTCTCGGGTTACCCGGGGCCCGCCCAGGTGGGCGGGTGGTTTGTGCGAGTTCCCTCCCCTCGGCGGGGCCCTGTCCCTAACGAGTCTCTCTAGGGACGTCCCCGTCCGAAACCGGAAAAAGCAGTTCCAATTAATTGTGTGAAAATGTGTCTGTCTCTCGCCCTTTGGGAGTCCCTAGAGCCTGTCCGCTCTCTCCAAATCGCTCTGAATTTACCTCTCCTTTCCTCTCACTGTTGTAAATACCCCCCACGGAGGAAATAGTTTTGCTAAGAAATAAAAGTGACTATTTTATTAGGACTTTGTTCTCCATTATTCACCCGTCCCCTTGGGCCTGTAAGGTCCTTCCCAAGGGGCGGTGAGGGAAGCGCCGGCTACGAAACCCATCACTTTCTGCTATCCCCAGACCAAAGCGAGGGTCGTGTGGGAGAACAGGTGAAATCATATTTGGAGGGTAAATGTTTCCCGCTTCAAGCTTGGGATTAGGGCAGGTTAAAGTCATCAAGTATGAAGCCACAAGCTTCCAGTCCAAGACACCACAGCAGCCCTGTAGGTACCTGGGAAACTCTCCGTGGTCCTGGGTGGTACCCCACCTCTCCCTTAACTGCCCCATGAATTCCTTGGTCTTATGTACTTCACAGGAAATGTGGGGGAAAGGGGTTGGCAGCGCAGAGACACCCTGCTGTTAGCTGTTTCTCAATCCTTCCTAAGCACAGACACCCTTGAACTCCTGATTCCTTGCCAAATGAAACTAAACCGGGAAAACGAAATCTTCCATAAGAAAATTGTAGCTGAGTGGACATTTGTCCCTAGGAGTTGCTTCTGCCTGGGTGAAGACAGTGGTCAGGCGCTGAGCACCCAAAACTGTTTGGGCAAGGCTGTCAGATGAAGCATGGAACTCCTAGCTAAATTTCAATTCCAGATAAACAATGAGTATGTTTTTAGAACACGTGTGTCCCCAATGACTGCGTGGGTTACATTTCTAAAATATGTGCTGACTGTCTGACATTAGAACTTAGTTGGGTATCCTGTATTTTTTCTTAAGTCTGGCAACACCCATTCTGAAAAAGGCTAACAGGTAGTGTACTCTTGGCCTTCCAATGAATGCAGCAGCCCTGCCTTTCTTCAGAGTACAGGCAAACCAAGTCCAGAAACACTTTTTCCTTTTATTTCAGAAGAAAGGAAATAAAGGTGGACACTTGCCCACCCGTCCCGCTTAGCTCTTGCCTCACCCAGAACAGAATGGAGGAGGCACAGGGCCAGTGTCCCAGAAAGCTTGCCCTTCCCCCAGCCCTTCCTTCCCTCAAAGTGGCAAGGTTAGAAAAAAATTAACTAAGTAGTTCCTGCCCTGGTGCTGGACAGGGGCCCCACTAAAGCCAAGGAGGAAGTGGGGGCAGGTGAGGGAAAAGGCCCCCTCCCAGGCAGAGAAGCTGCCCTGACTGGCTAGGGGGAGGGTGGAGGTAGGTTTTGGGGCAGAGGGGAGAGAAGAGCCCTGAAAACCTTTTCCCTTTAACCTGACATATTTATATATTTACAGTGGTAAGTGGGGGGAGGATTTCTGGGTGACATTGGTTCTTCAAAGGCAGGGAATAACAGCCAAATAGCACCCCAACTTGGTCACATTTTCCTGCCTCCTAGCTCCGAAAGCCTTCAGTGGGAAAGGGAGGGTGGAGGAAGGGAATGTTTGAAGGGCCGGAGCCCACGGCTCCCTCCAAAGAAGGTGAGGTGGCAGAGGAGGGGCAACTGGGTCCCACCAAGAGAAGGGCCCTGAGGGACGCAGGAGAAGCAGCCACCATGCCCTGCCTCTCCACCAGCTCCCCTAGCTCCACGGGGCCCGGCCGGCAGGGGCTATGCCAGACCCATCTCCTCCAGCACACTGCGTGGCGACTCATCCTCCTGAGGCAGAGACAGACAGGGTGACGCAGACACCAGGAGAGCAGGGTGGGTAAGACAACCGGCAACCACAAGGAAGGTGGCAGAGTTGGGGAGCACAGAGAGACACGGGGAGGGGGAGAGAAACCATCATGAGCCCAAGGCTGGGGTGGCTGCGAGCACTCAGAGGCGCTCACTAGCCTCGCAGCACCACCCCAGCACCCACAGTGGCATTGAGGGGACCAGGCTGGGCCCATCACCACCCAGAAAACCTACAGCCAAGAACTGGGTGAGCAGGAAGCTTGGCTTCAGGGAACCTGGGACCAGAGCTGGAAACGTGCTTTCCTGGGGCTGGTGGGTATAGAGAGTAGGGTCCTATTTTGGGGGGTTGGGGGAGGTAGTAAGAGGTTGTCACCAAGTCCCTGAGGGAAGGTAAACTAGACTGCAGAGAGATGAGTCACTAGGGTCTCAGCAGAGCACTAGTAATCAGGGTAGGGGTGCACCAGGGCCTGTGTGTATGGTGTGTGTGTGTGAGAGACATAGACACACACACACAGACACACACTGGACCATGACGTGGTGAGTTCAGTTTTACCCTTTTTCCTTGTGTAGGGATGAACCCCCCTCTGCCCCTTTTCTCCCCCTCCTCAGAGCCAGCTCAGGTCGGCTTGCTCGTCACTGCAGATTCCGGTGACTCATCTCCCTGCACCAAAGCTCAGCAGTGGCACAGCAGAGAGGGGGCAGGCAGCAATGGGGTGAGGGCGGGGGTGCTGGATAGCAGGGAACCAACATCCAGGCACCCTCCACCCCAGCTCCAATCCCCATGGCCGACTGCTCCTGAGAAGCAAAGGCTTCTGAATGTGTGTGTTTCAAAAAACCAGGGAAGAGAAGACTGATCTCTGGGTGCCCCTCTCCAGTTCTGAGAAACCCTTGACAGCAAGAGAAGCACTAGGTGGGGAAAGAGCTTGCAATGAGGGGACAATTGGCATAGATGTGTGATGGGCCCTTCCGCCTCCCACCGCATGGGGTCAGGGCTTGAGGGAAAGCTGGACAGATGGGCGTGATGGCGGCCAGACACCACAGGGAAGGGGGCCCCCTTGGTGGCGGGCAGGGTGTCCAGGGGAGGAAGGGTCCCTTCTGCTGTGATGCTCTTCCTCCTCCTCACTGTCCCTGGCCCGTACCTCCTGCAGCAGGTCTGCCTGCTCAATAGCCTTCAGCACACTCTTCTTAGAGGTGTCCTGGACGTCCCCTCCCATCAAAAACTCATCCAGGATGAAGTAGGCCTTCTCAAAGTTGAAGATGATGTCCAGTTCGCACACCTGGGAGGGGGAGGAGAAGGCAGAGTGGCCCATCAAGGTGCGCCCAGTCCCTATTTCCCCATGACCATTCCCCTCGTGGTGGGTTCTTGCTCTGGGCCTCAGTTCTTCCACCCTGAGCCTCAGGACTTGGGTTTTGCTTCTTCTTCCCTCCTTCTTGACTCTTGGCCTCCAACCAGGAAATACGAACTGCCTTTGTCTATCCTTGTCCGTGGTTCCTGTTGCACTGCCTCTAATATCTGTGACACTGTTCCCACCAGAGGCTGTGTGAGCCTCCCTCTGTGGCACAGTGGACAGAGACACTGGCCCATGGGGTAGAAGACTTGAGTCCCAAGCAGGGCTCTGCCAAGACCCAGCTAGCTGTACGTCATGGAGTGTCTCAGCCTCAGTTTTCTCATCTGAAAATGGGGATATCGACACCTCTTTATAGGATAGAATGAGGAGCAAACAAGAGAACCCCAAAGGGCTTTGTGGAGTGGGATACAGAATTGTCTGGCATAAGACTCAAGCTCCCCCCCATAAGTGACTTGGATCTCTGGGGGTGGGGCCCTGGGCATTACTATTTTTAAAACACTCTACAGGATTCCAATACAAAGCCAAGGTCAGAACCACTGAGGAAATGTGAACTTGTTTCTGTCCTAGCACAAGAAGTCTGAGCTGAGGAGATTAAGTGCCAGATTCTGTCCCTTCCCCACCCCACCTCAGCCCGGGGCTTATTAAGGGGCACAGCTAATAGGCTTAAAGCTTAAAAAGGGAGATTAATTACTGTTCTCATTGCTCCAACTGCATCTCTCCCCTGAGACTGGAAGAGTAGAGATGACTTAGATGGACCTTGGAGTTGAGCAGAAAGGGGGATTTCTGAGTATAGAACCGGGGTGAGAGGGGAGACTTACGCTGCCGAAGTATTTGTCCAGGAGCTCCACATACCGATGGATCAGCTCCAGCGTGATGAGCTCATTGTCTTGGCCCTCAATGGCGCAGCAGAAATAGAGGCTGGCATATCTGTGGAGGGGACACGAGAGACAGCTTGGAACTGGCTTTGGAACCCAGGTATTCTGAGCTTAAATCTCCCATCAGTCCAAGATCTGCGCCCCAGCTGGACACAGGCAAGTGGCCCTTGGGTACACAAAGAGTAACAACCTCTCAGAAATAAGTAAGGATGCGTGTGCTCTTTCCTTCTTGACCTCTGATCTGCTCAGTTTTGACTCAGCAAAAGCCCAAGCCAACTAACTGACCTGCTCAGAGAAGGAATTGGAAAGGGTATGTGGGGGTGTGTGCACCTATATGCTGGGAAAAGTGGGGCAAGGCCTCTGAATGGTGAGAGACAGTAAGGGACACGTACAGTGGACAAGATAGAGCCTATAGGGACAGAAGTATGTGTGTGGCAAGTGCCAGGCTTGAGCAACACTAAGCAGGGAACAAGAATTTCTTCAAGGGGAGTTTGGAAAGTACAGGAGGCTGGTGTTCATTGCTGTCCTGGGCTCACGGTTCTCCCTGACCTAGGAGGCACCTATTTCTCTGCCATTTCAATTCTTTGCCAAACTTCAATCCAGCAGGATGCGGGTGGGTCTGAAAGCAGGTGGGGAGTCACCTCTTATAGACAACTTTGAGGTCCCTCCACTCCAGGAAGCTGCACATCTTGGGTTTTCGAGCCAGAACAACCTGCATAAGCTCCCGAACCATCTTCTTCCGTTCCTTATCTGACGTGGCCAGGTACCATTTTTGCAGCCGCAGCTTTCCCTGACGGCTGAACAGCAGCATGAATCGCATCTGGAGGACATGGACAGAGCGGAGGGTCCGAGATTTTGTTCTGAACCTCTTTCCTCCATACACACAGGCCCAAATTCAGCCCCTTGCTTCTCTAATTATGGCTGCCTGCTACTTTCTTAAAAAAATCTACCCGCTGGATGTCAACTCTAGGTGTTCCCACCAGCAGGTGACTTTCCTTCTGGCAGAAGCTATTGCTTTGGTGTGTCTGTCATTTGGGTTCAAGTTCTGATTCTAGTCTATGGCCTTCAGTAACTTGATTTATGTCTCTGGATCTCAGTTTCCCTGTTTGAAGATGATCAAACAACTTCCCTTTCAGAGCTGTTAGAAGGATTAAATGAGTTGATATATGTAACAGTGCCTGGCACATAGGAGGCATTATAACATGTTAGGTATTATTTTTATTCCCTGATGTCCATTTCCTAACCCTGCTTTCTAAAGGAAGTAAAATGCCTAACACAGTGACAAGCGGTACATAGTTAATGCAAAGAGATACCAGTTCCCTTCCATCCTCCTGTATCCACCACCATGCTAAAGTGGGGTACTTGACTCAAGCTACCTCAGTTTTCCACCCCATCCTATTCATAAGCCCTTGCTGATGTCCCTAAGTGTCTTCCATGGACAGTCGTATGCTCAGGGGTATCCTTCTCCGGATGTATACATGTGTCCAACACTGGACTTGGTGTCAGGATGATCAAACTCCATCCTCCAATCATCTGATCCCTAGCTCTTCTCTTCCTTTTAGGGTGCCTCCCACTAAGACCCACACTTCCCCAGACATCAGATGACCAATCTCCCTTTCAGTCCCTTGCTTAGGACAGGGTCATACAGGGTGGCTCCCTTAGGGAATGTCTGTGGAACAAAGAGCAAGCTGGGTGAAGTGGCATGGAGTGCAGAGCCCTCACTACCTCGTGCACCCTAGCTTCCCAATTCCAGGTGTCCCTTCCTGGACTCATTTGCTCCCAGCAACTCCCTTCTCCGTGTACATGAGCAGAGCTGGAATCCCCGGGTGTGTACAACAGTACTAGTTTAGTAGGTTAAAAATCAGGATTTGGATAACTGTTTTGTTTTTTTTTGGGGGGGGGGATGGGGAAGGGGGAGAACCGAGGGGCCCCACGGAGCTCCCGTGCAGCCAAAACAGGGGGTGGGGAGCCAGCAGGAAGACGGAAGGCCTGGGTTCCGGAAAGAGAACAGAATGGGGGGCGGAGAACCAGAGGCGCTGGAGCCGGGGATCCCCAAACCTGGGTCCCCAGCGCCAACCCTCCAGCCCACTCGCCTCCCTACCCCAGCCCAGCCTGGGCGCGCATGGCCGGGAACCGAGGCGGGACGTACACGCCGGGACCCGGAAACAACGCTCTCCCACAGCCCGCTTTCCCGCGGGTCCTATCCTGTCTGGGCCTCAGGGGGAGAGCGTTCAGGTGACCCGCGACCCCCGCTCGCTCCCTCCGCGAACAGACCCCTCGCCCCTCGCCTTCGGGTGCTTCCCTGCGGCCAGGGTCGGGGGTCGCTGGACCGAACTCCGAGCCCTGAGAGCTTCTGCTGGCTTGGGACGGTCCCGCCGCCCCTAGACTGTCCCCTCTCGTCGCACAAACGCGCCCCCTCCCCGCCCCTCTCCCGAGTGCCATTTCCAGCTCTTCCTCCCCAGGCCCGGTCGCCCACCCGCTCAGAGAAGTGGGTCCTCGGAGGACCAGAGGGAGGAAAGAGCGGCTCCCAACGAGGGCGGCCCCCAAGGACCCCCGCAGGTGCAGCCCACGCCCCTCGGTTCCCCCCTCCCCTCCCTCTTCGCACAGCCTACCATCCTGCAGCCTCCGGCTCGGCGCGTCCCTCTTCGGCCACCGTAGGTGCCAGCTCCACTCCCTTTCTATCCTTTCTCTTCCTTCCCTCCCTCCCTCTCCGCCAAAGCCCCGCCCCGTCCCGCCCCGACGCGGAGACCCATCTCACGGCGCACTGCGCAGGCGCCAACGCTGCGGGGCGCGCGGGCGGGGCTGGAGGCGGAGAAGCGGAAGCCATGGCAACCAGGTCCTTGACTTCAGCTTTGAGAAGCTCAGTCGTCATGGTAACAAGGCTATCTTGTGGGTGGGTTGGAGGATGGGGGAAGAGGACAATGAGGTCCTCGAGCTTTGGAGCCTTGGGGGGAAAAGGCGGGAAAAGGGGTGAGAGGTGTCTTTGGGGTTTTTGAGGAAGCAGGGAGGGCTAATGGGAGGGAGGCAGGCAGTTAAGAGGGAATTAGATGAGGAGAGGAGAAATTATATGGAAAAGAGGAAGACAAAGGGGTAGTGGGGGGCATGAGGAAAGTATGGAGCTCAAGTATGTATTGAGAATCTACTAGAACAACAGTCTATTAAAGAGAAATATATAGGAAGCCAGAGGAGTGAGAAAAGAAAAGGGAAGGGCTGGTATAAAAGGGATGTAAGGAAAAGGGGGAGAGAAAAAGAATCTTAAAAGGATAGCGTGGGTCAGAACTAAACAAGTAGGTGTAAAGATGAAGACAATGTAAATTGTAATGTAAGCCTTCAGTGGTGTGTGTGTGTGTGTGTGTGTGTGTGTGTGTAGTAAAGTGAAGGAGTATGGATTTAAGAGAAAACTTATATTTTGTTAGGTTGAAAAATTAATAACTATAGTCCCCATTATTCTCAGGGGGTTGCATTTCAAGACCCCAGTGGATTACTGAAACCTTAGACAATTCCAGACCCTATATAAAGTATGTTTTTTTTCCTACACATACCTACCTATGATAAAGTTCAGTTTACAAATTAGGCACAGTAAACGATTAATAATAATAACAGAAAGGGGAACAGCTGGGTATGGTGGCATACTCCTGTAATCCCAGCAATCCTGGAGGCTGAGGCAGGAGTATCCCAGATTTGAGGTAACTTGGTGAGACCCTAAGTAACTTAGCAAGACTCTGTCTCAAAAAAATAAAAAGGACTGGAGATGTAGCTCAGTGGTAAAGCACCCCTTATACAAAAAGGGGGGGCAATTATAACAATATACTGTAATAAAATTGCCACTATGCTTATGCTTTGGAGCAGTTATTCAATAAGATATAGGTTACTTGAACCCAAGCTTTGCAGTACTGCCATAGTCTATCAGCTATTAAGTGGCTGATGGGTGGGTAGCTTGTTCAGTGTGAATACACTGGACAAAGAGATAGATTTGGGATGGAGCTAGATTACATCAGAATGGTGTGCAATTTTAAGAATTTATAAATTGCTTATTTCTAGAAAATATCTATTAATAATTTTGGACTATAGTTGATTGCAGGAAATTGAAACCACAGAAACTATGGATAAAGGGAACTACTATATCTATCTCTAGCTTCTTGTTAGCAACAAATGATGTTTTATTATTATTACTTTATTTTTATCTTTTGGTACTGGGGATTGAACCCAAGGGCGCTTAACCACTGAGTCACATCCCCAACCCTTTTTAATATTTTATTTAGAGACAGGGTCTCGCTGAATTGCTTAGGGTCTCGCTAAGTTGCTGAGGCTGGCTTTGAACTCATGATCCGCCTGCCTCTACCTCTCGAGCTGCTGGGATTATAGGCATGTGCCTCCGTGCCTGGCCAATGTTATTATTTTTTGAATAGCCTTTGAAGAACTTTTTGGTAAAATCTTATGTCTTCATTTTTCTTGTTCTTTGTTAACAGCAATTGTTACTAATAAAGTGGGTATAAGAGCATACTGTAATAAAATTGCTACTTTTGCACTTTAGAGCAGTTATTAAAAAAATACAGGTTACTTGAACACAAGGCAGTACTGTCACAGTCTACCTGATAATTGAGGCCATTACTACATTGTTGGTGAATGATGAATATAGAGAATCTGTGCACTAGAAGTAACTAGAGGTCAGATGTTCTGGTGACAAGAGGGAAGGCCTAGTTCACCTGGTGTGGAAGCTTGTCTCTAACCCCTACTAAAACGTATGTCCTCAAGGGAGTCATTGAACCCTCTATCTTCTTGTTTTGAAAACTAAGAAAGTGGTGGGAAATCTTGGAAGGTGATTTTGAGGATAAAGATAAGATATAGAAAATATTTGCCACATTGTAAATACTTGATAATAGTAGCTATTATTTCCCCCTCTCAACTTGTTTCATTTTTTATTCCTTTCTTTTTCATTTCCCTTCCTCCTCTGTCTATCCCTTATTGCTTGCTAGTGGCCTAATCTAAGGCAGGTGATATATACCAAGGAGATCTTGGTGATGGCCCAGAGAGTTGACTGAATGATCCTGGCATTACTTATTAGGTAAAGCATAAGATCAATAAAGCAAGTTATTAGAATCAGAAAGGGTGAATCATGAAGGAGTTAAAATAAGGAAAAGGACAGAAGGCAAAACAAATGAACAGAAGTGTGTCCCTGAGAGAGAGAAGGCGGCTACATATAGGGAGCGAGGTGAAGAGGCAGCACCTTCCCACATTGGGAAACGCTAGCGACGTCAGCTCCATACTCCTTGGATAGCTGACACTTTCTAGAGTTCCTCGTCTCAGTGGGACATGCCTAATTGCAGAAAAGATAAGATTAATGAGGGAACTGTTAGAAGATTTTGCTCATGTGGAATAACAGAATTCAAGTGGCTGAGGCGAGTTAGAAAATGGTGGACTGAGTTTCTTCATTGTTAGTGAACCTATGAGTTAATAGAGCTGGTGCGCGGAGATGAGTTGACTTGCTGCAGTGGGCAGATGGGTGCAGAGTCATTATGGTGTCTGAGCTGGTGAATCACTTGGTGAAAGCAGTGTTAAGGACATTAATCACATAGTAATGTGTGGGACAATTTGAAAGGACAAAATGGAAGGCTAGAAGATCATTGAAGAGGCCGTTTTGGGAACCTAGGTGCAAGGATGAAACGGAGAGGGGCAAATCAAGAGAGATGCCTGTGATGGGCCCACCAGCATCCAAGTGGGGAAGCAGGGAGAGGACTCTGGGATGAGCCTGGAGGCTTGGTGACTCCCTCAGAATACCTGGAAGAGGTGAGATTCTCCTGCATAGCTTGGGAGGGTGTTTGTACTGTCACTCTCCAAACCACACTGACAGCTCCCCTTGCCGTCCCTCATGTGGCTGTAGAATGGTTCCTGCAGCGTTTGGAAGGATGGCTCAGCTGGTTTCAGAAGCCCAGCATCCTTTGAGCCTAGGATCTGCATTTTCCCCTCTTTTGATGCCCTTTGAACCCACTTTGGGTCCATTCTTTAAGTCATTACCTGAGTCAATATGTGCTACTCTAATAAAATGCCTCCAACTGAGTGGTTTATAAAGAACAGCAATTTATTTCTCAAAATTCTGGGGGCTGGAAAGTCCAAGATCAGCTAGTTTGATGTATAAGAGTTGCTCTCTGTTTTCCGAGATGGTGGCTTCTTCCTGTGTCCTCACATGTTGAACGAAACCAAAGGGGCTATGTGGAGGGCAGGCTGTGCTCTGCTCTGAGTCACTTCATGAAGTGTGGAAAAGCAGTTTCAGGCTGTGCCTAAACCTGAATTGCTCCATGTTGTAAAGCAATCGTTTTACAAAAGGTAGTTTGCCATAAGCTTCTTCATTTTCAGTGCCCAAGCAGAATGACTATGCACCTTGTTTGTACAAGTAATGACACCATCTGCCTGGCACAACCATAAGGCACAAACTGACGAATGAATTAACCATGCTAATAAGAGTAACCACCTGTGGACTGATGGAATTAATTGGAAGCACACGGATGTGCAGGTGTATCAAATTCATCTCAGAAAAACCAGACCACTGAATGATGCAGCCCACGCACCAGAGGCCGGTAAAAGGAAGGGCACTCTCAGACTGGACATGGTGGCACCCTGACCCCATCACCTGGTCACTGGTTTTGAGCTTTGCCCAGGAAAATTGCCATAGTGATGAACTTCTGATTTCCTGTCCCGTTGGGCTTCAGCAGAACATGGTTCCTTCTGCCTGTGATGACCCTGTATGGCCCACTCCAAGCTGACATCTCAAGCTGATATTCTGGAACTGCCATCCATCTGGACCTTGGCCTAGAATAAGTTCTTGCGTGTTGAACAAGCTCTTGGTTGGTTCCTAATCTTATTTGATCACCTACAGGGACCCTGCGTTAGAATCTGCCCTCTGCCTTCCCTCTCAGTTCTGAATCCCTGTGGCTGTCTTAACCCTTTTTTAGTCTTTCTGTGACACACACTTGAGTATAAAACTATTAGAAATTAAGATTGGAACTTGCATTTGCGCAACTTTTGATACCAGATAACCCATGAATATTCAGTAAACTGCCACTTATGAAAATGGGAGAGCACATGAATTTACTGTCATTTGTTGAATTCTGACATTGTGGAAAGACACAGACATGCTTGGTCTATGTTAGTGACAGCATGCTCCCAACAGGCTAAATAAATAAATATAATTAAGAGGATGGAATCCCTCAAGCTCTTTTATAAGGACACCTAATCCTCTGCATGAGGATTGCTCAGTCACCTCCCAGAGGCCACCTGCTTAATACTGTTGCATTGGGGATTAAGTCTCAACTTGAACTTGAAAGCAGACTGACTCCATTATTCAAACCATCTTGGGCGCAATGGTGGTGTGATTAGCAATTCCAGAGGATGAGGCAGGAGCATGGCAGGTTCGAGGCCATCCTGGGCAACTTAGTGAGAGTGTGTCTCAAAATAGAAATAAGCCCGTAAAGGAAAAGGTTTGGGTATGTAGCTTAGTGGTAGACCACCCCTGGATTCAATCTCCCAATACTGCAAAACAAAAATAAATAAATAAAAATTTAAGACGATGGAATCCCTCAAGCTCTCTCTCTCTCTCTTTTTAATTTTTTTTTTTTTTTTTAGTTTTAGGTGGACACAATATATTTTGTTTCTATGTGGTGCTGAGAATTGAACCCAGTGCCTCACGCATGCTAGGCGAGTGT